AACAAGTGTTTAATATAGATATTAACAAGTGTGCTGATGAAGGTGTGACAGAAGTCATCAAGGGTGTGGACAAGCTAACAGAAGTAATCATAAAAGCCAGCCCAAGCCTGGTGCAGAAAGACAAGATGGGAAAGTGCTGGTTTTGGTGTGTATAAGGACCAGCAGGATGGCAGTTCATGGCTTAGAGCAACACCAGAACCATCCCACAAGCGAGCGTCTGACTCCTGCAGTGGGGCAGCTGGGCGTACGTCATCCCCCGTTACCTGGAGACCGCGCCCAGGTCTGGTGGAGGAGAGTCCATTTCAAGGCAGGCAGTGTTGAGAGTGACCTCACTGCAAACCCACACATTTGCAGCGCGGTGGGCTATATGCTCAGAGCACCCGAGGTGTTGGTGAGGTAACGGCCATTGGTGGCCAACGTGGGTACTACCCAGCGCTTTCTGGACAATCCCAGTACCAGCGATCGATGAGCAGCGGCACCTCGCCTGGGGTGACCTGGGGCCGGCTCCACTGAGCTTCCTTCCGTGGAGTCTAGTGGAGCAAACACCGATGTCACCACGACCAAGTTGAAGAGGGCGTCCCAGCAGGTCTCATCACAAGGACAGCAGACGTTCTGAAGAACAGGGAGCATCCACAAACTCGTCCCTGACGCCGGCTGGTGAGTCTAACTCTCTTGATCTCCTCTTGCTTGCGCAAGTCCTTCGTGGGTGGAGGCAGCCGCCCTTGGTCTGTGGATATTCTCATGTATGAATAAACGTGACATTGTGGAAAGACAAATTTTGAGTGATCATTTGTCACTGCCTGCTCAAAACATCACCCCAGAGGCCTGTCCATTGTCTGGCTGGAAGCCACAGAAGTGAGTTCAGTTCCAGACTGGAAAGGTAACTAAGGGCCAGAGGCTGAGACAGGGGTCTCACCAGGCTGGTTAAAGTGTTAAAGAGCAAAGATGTCACTTTAAAGACTAAGGTGTCCCTGACCGAAGCCACGGTATTTTCAGTCACCTCCTATGCATGTGAGAGCTGGACAAGGAAGAAGCGATGCCTCTGAGTTGTGGTGCTGGAGAATTGAGGGTACTATGGATGTAAGGGATGCCCCGTGGAAGTGAGAATGGCCAGATTTCTTCCCAACTGCTTTGGTCGTGTGGTCAGAAGGGACCATTCCCTGGAGAAGGATGTCATGTTTGGTAAAGCGGAGGGTCCCAAGAAAGGGGAAGCGCATCAGCAAGATGGACTGACACGGTGCTGCAACAGTGGGCTCGGGTATAGCGAGGACTGTGAGGCTGGTGCAGGATCCTGTGTTGTACCCAGCACCGCTGTGACTCGGAGCCTGCTAAATGGCACCTAACTCCACCACCACTAACTGCAACACGAAACCTGGCGCTAAGGGTTTACATGGACTCTCATCTGTTTTTTCCCACAACCCCTGGTGTTCATACTATTCTTGTCCCTGTTTTATAGGTGGAGAAAACCCAGCCCAGGAGGTGAAGTAACTTGCTCAGACATAACGAGGGATGGGAAAAGTGAAGAGTTGAAAGGAGACAAGCTAACTCCGGGCCTTTGCTGAAACCCACTGCCAGTGAATCCAGCCCGACCCCTAATGACACTGTGGGGCAGAGTAAAGCTGTCCCATAGGGTTTCCAAGGCTGTAATCTTGACAGAAGCAGACTTCCTCATCTTTCTCCCACAGAGTAGCTGGTGAGGTTGAAACACTGACCTTTTGGTTAGCATGGAGCACTGAACCACATTGCACCATCAAGGGCTACACAGCCTTTGCTTAGCTATTCTCTTCGGCTCAGAGAGGTTAAGATACTTGGCCAAAGTCACACTGCTAGTAAGACTAAGAGGTAACATTTATTAATGTTACTATGTACTCTGCGAGGAGCTCTGGTGGCATAGTGCCTAAGGCATTTGACTGCTAACCGGAGGGCTGATGGTTCAAACCCACCAGCCACTCCGTAGAAAGAAGACAGGGCAATGTACTTCCATAAAAATTTACCACCTCAGAAACCCAAACGGGGTCGCTATGAGTCAGAATCAACACCATGGCATGAGTTTGATTTATTTTTTTTCTTTTTAATATATTGTGCAGTGGTTAAGCCCTTGACTACTAACCTAAAGGCAATGCTTTGATCCCATCAGCTGATCTATATGAGAAGGACGTGGCAATCTGCTTCATTTAGGATTAAACCAAAACCCTACTGCCATGGAGTCAACTCTGACTCAGAGCAACGCCCACTGGGTTTCGAAGGTGGTAAATCTTTAAGGAAGTAGATTGCCCCATCTTCCCTCCGCAGAGCAGCTGGTGGGTTTGAACTGCCAATGCTTTAGGTATTACACCACTAGAGCTCCTTAGTGTTGTTAGGTGCTGTTCCGTCAGCTCCGACTCAGCGATCCTACACACAACAGAACGAAACATTGCACGGTCCTGCGCCAGCCTCACAAGCGATCCTTGCTATACCTGAGCCCATCTTTGCAGCCACTGTGTCACTCTGTGTCATGCAGGGTCTTCTCCTTTTTCACTGACCCTCCACCTCACCAAGCTGATATCCTTCTCTAGGGAATGGTCCCTTCTGATACCGTGACTAAAGATTACAGCCTTGGAAATCCTTTGGGGGTAGTTTCTGCTCCGTCCCAAAGGGTTGCTATGAGTTGGAATCAACTCCACAGCAGTGGGTTTGGCTTAATGTACCAGCGCTAAGCTCGGTGTTTTCCAATCCTGTCATAGAATTCTCTCGGCAACTCAATGACCTAGGGTCTGTTATCATCCCCACGGGAGAGATAGGGAAACTGAGGCTTAGGGGGAGCAAGTATTTTGCCCACGTTGACCGTTGGTCTTCGCACCTGGCTAAAGGCCCCGCCCCGGCCCCGCCCGGCCCAACGGGCTCTCTCTTCCACCAATCAGAGGGCGCTGAGGGCGGGCCGCGCCGCTCCGGCCCCGCCCATGCCTCCCGAGCGACCGGCGGCACGCAGAAGCGACGCGCGCCGTCGGGGAGAGCGGCCGCCGCAGGCTCCTCCCCCTCTCCTCGAAGCCGGACCGGAACTATGTGACCCCGGAAGTTCCGGTGCCATTGCTGTGTGGGATAAACAGTAATGGCGGAGGCTGCAGCTCCCGGAACAACAGCCACAACATCTGGAGCAGGAGCGGCAGCGGCGGTGCTGGCAGCGGCCTCCCCTACCCCTCTCCCCACTGTCCCCTCGCCGGCCCCGGGGGCGGGGGGCGGGGGAGGCGGCAGCGACGGCGGTAGCGGCGGC